AACACATTTTTTAATTCCTTGTGAATATTGAATCACCAGAATATGTTTGTTCTCACTTGCTTCTTTGGGCTTCTGTATATATATATATATATGTGATTAAAACTCAATTCAAGACTTTTTCCTAAGTCTTTATCCATGTTGCATGCTCTAAACACTCTCACTCTTCTTCCTCCTTCGTCTTCCTCCCTTCTTCCTCTCTTTATTTATCTTTTATCATCTTCCACACGGTATCTGTTCTCTCTGATCTCAGCTCAGTTGGCCCCAAAAAAAACCCGACCCCGAGCTGCTGCACAAACACAGGAACTCCTGTTTCTGAACCCTGCAGACTCTAAAGAAAAACCACCGCGCCTTTCAGACACACACACACACACACACACACACACACACACACACACACACACACACACACACACACACACACTTCCCTCCCTTCCTTCTTCTCCACTCATCTCCTTCTGCTCACCATCAGCCACAGAGCGTCTCAAACTCTCCCAAAGGTATTGAAGTCCAGGAGACCACCTTTAGTTTATCAGTTTTTACCCACAATGCATTGCACTTACCATATTACAACCTCAGGGGATTGCTGCAGAACAGAGAATATGCATTTGGCCGTTTTGTGAATGTTCTATTAATCATATTTAGTGCGTTTAGGTGCAGAGATGTCAACGGAGTGCAGTAGCTATCAGAGGTGGAAGTACATTTAGTCAAGTACTGAACTTAATTACACGTTTGAGGTATTTGTACGTGACTTAAGTACTTACATTTTCATAATACCTTCAGCTTCAACACTTTTTATATTTGCATGACAGCTTTAGTTACATTTTTGCACAGAAAATACATGAAGTATTTCACAATAAGAGCACCTTGCAAGTCTCTTTAGGTCATTTTCACATAAAAACAGACATCATTTCAACTTTTAAAATGTGAAACTTGATGTGTTTCCTTAATGAAGATGACACTTTGGGATTTGCAAAATCATTAAAAAATGTTACACCATTTTTACAAACAGATAAATTCAGACATATCTTAAGAATTTCACAATCAAAGCACCTTTTAAGTTAGTTTAAGTCTTTCTCTTGTAAAAACAATCATAGTTTCAACTTTTAAATGTTAAAACATTCTTATTAAATTACCCCTCTGGCAAATTGCAATAAAACTTCCCTCTTTTTTCCCAATTTGTACAAACCAGCATCATCAATAATCATACATTATTAACTTGTATAACATTCACATGGGACATTTTCCTCAAATTAGTGTCATTACTTTCAATATTTCCCCCAAAATACCCCCCAATAATCACATTTTCAGTGCTTTTTCTTGTAACAGAGTATTGTCACAGTGTAGTATTTAAGTCAAGTGTTCTTCCCCCACCTCTTTTAGGTATTGCACTCAACGTGTTTTAAAAAGAAAAAGCGACAGGGTGACGATTCTTAGTTTAATTGCAGTTATCAGTTTCTTGGTGTAGTACTACTGCTGTGGCCACTAGGTGTTGCTGTGGTCTCACTATTCAGGCTCAAGCAGGGAAACCCATGATTCAAACATCTCTACAAAGTGCTGCTCGCTTTAAAACTCATGCATGCCTCGCTTCCTCATCTCTGTGGATTCAACGCTCTCTGACGACATGTTATGAGTTTCAGCGTCCATCGTGCTTTCTAAAACCCTCCTCTCCTGCAGTAGAGACATGTTTTGTTCACCCTCTGACCGCTGGCCTCTCTCACTGCTCATGCTTTCTGTTCAGATGATAAGATAAGGTTGCAGGATTTTAAGTGAGAGGGGTCAAAGGTCAGAGGGTCAAGTGGTCTGGTTCAGAGTTCACCGTGCAGCCTTCAGTCCATGAAACAACAAGCAGCGTTCACTCTCCTGATGAAACAGACTGATTTCACTTTGACATGTCACTTACCTTCCTCTGATTTATTTCATGACTTTCAGGGAAAATGCCACTGGGCTTTATTTATTAAATTACTACAAAGTAAAGGGGCATTTTTGATCACATTTCAAAGTAAAAAGGGTCATTTCCACACACTTTTACCTCTGAATTAGTTAAGAAAGGACTTCTCTCAAGATATCTCTGATCACAGTCATTAACCTAATATACGATAACCTTTGGGATCAAAGTACATTTTGATCGTAAGAGTTTTAATACACATTTTGCAATCATTAAATTTTTTATAGATCCCCCTGAAGACACATTTAAAGGGGACCTATCATGCAAAATGCACTTTTGTACGTCTTTTATACATGAATATGTGTCCCCGGTGTTCCAGGGAACTCACCAAGTGTCAGAAAACACAACCCTCTCTATTTTCCTCCATACCCAAATCTCTAAAAAAGGGGCTGCAACGGATCTGATAAAAACTGATCCAGATTTGAACACTGTCCTGACGTCAGGACGGTGGCGCTACGGCTATTGGGCCAACTCCACCAATCAGGAGGAGACAGCCACGGACATTGCCGTTCGAAAGCGCTGGAGACGCTGTAGTACATATGCCAGGCCTGTAGATGGTGCTGTTCTCACTGAATCAGCCCTTGCTGATATAAATATAGTATAAATATGCCTTATATAGGTATGGTCCTACACTATATTATTCAAATATAGCATGATAGGTCCACTTTAAGTTAGAAAGATATATAATAAAACTGTGCTATTAAGCCCCTGAGAGAATCTTCTTCTCACAAAATGTTGGAACGTAGTTTATTTCGTTTTTTGGGGAATAGTCCGCCCTTGACTTGCCTCTCAGGGCTTCTGTATGTGTCTGATGGGTTTTCATTCATTTAAGTCTAATTCTATAAAGATTTGATTCATAAAAATGCAAATATGTCTTATTAGTACACATAATGTCACCTACTACTTCAGAATCAGAAACAGGTTCATTTCCAACTAGGTTTTCGTACGAGTCTTTTCCCTCTGTGTACATGGTGCATACATACAGTAAGGGGGGGATAAAAAGTAAGAAAAAAAAAAGAAAAAATGTAAGAAAATCAATTGAAACTATTACACGTTAAGATCTAGAAAAATGACTTGCATGAAATCTGGATATACCTAACCATTTGCAGTATATTATAGCAAAGCAATATTAAAATACAATCTAATATGTGCAGTGTTGTTATGGGAGTATTTTACTCATGCGGCCATTATCAGTCTCTCTGACCAGGACTTCCAAACTATTTCTGACGTCAGAAAGTAAACACAAGTAGAAATAATAATCATGTATGAGTGACAGGTATTCCCTTCAGACGGGGAAAATAAATCCTGGTTCTGCCTCAACGGAAGCACTGCAGAGTTCCTTTAGTAAACAAAAACAAACTCTGTTTACCAAACTGACTTTAGACACTAACACATACATGATGCAACTTCACTGCAACCCTAAATGAGAACAGAGAGGACTCTGGGAAAACGCTGTGAACTCTGACCCCTGCTTCTCATCCTCATCTCTCCCCACTAACTAGTCTCCCCCTTTTCATCTCCCCCCTCCTCTTTCACCGCACATTTCCCCCCTCCCCCTCCCCCCCTCTCCCCTTCTCCTCCAGGTTGCTGTATCGACCGACTCTCAGGAGGCTCTGTTTTCGGACGGAGGGGGAAGCGCTGAAGGACTTGTAAACTTAGCCCTCCCCCTTTCACCCTCCGCCTCCTTATCTCCCCCACTTTTACCACCCAGGCCCCCCCCCTTCCCCCCCCAGGAGGATCTGGAGGTGTCTCTCCTCACCCACAGGGGGACAGGAAGTGACATCACTATGGCACCAAACCATGGTGATGATGATGGTGATGTTTTCGTCAGAACGAGGCAGTTGAAGAGGTTTCACAGCATGGACACGACGCAGGGCAGCAACGTGGCCCCGCCCCCTCGCCTCCCTCGACCCCCCCGCCCTTACTCCTGGCTCGACTCCCCCCCGGAGACCTGCTTTTCATCGGAGGGGGAGTCAACAAACCCCAATCGTAGCCCCTCCTCCTCCTCATCTGGCTTCGTTTTTTCGCAAATCCACGCCTCGCCGCATAGACGCAAGAAGAAAATGAGCCCGCCGTGTATCTCCGTGGATCCGCCCAGCGACGAGTCTGGACTTTACCCCCCAGGAGTGGTTGTTGTGGGGGGGGGGGGAGGGTTAGGGTTAGGGTTACCCTCCCCCCTGCCCAGCCGGGACACCTGTCTGAGGAGGAGGGCGCCCTCTAGTGACTCCTTTGACCTCGGGGTGACGGGGGGCGAGGGGGGGTCTGTACAGCTACTGACGCCCCCCAGGGAAGAAAAGCTCTGAGCACTGACCCTGCAACACACACAGAAAGAGACACACACACACACACACACACACACACACACACACACACACACACACACACACACACACACACACACACACACACACACACACACACACACACACACACACACACACACACACACACACACACACACACACACACACACACACACACACACACACACGATGCACACTGTGTGTCTTTGGTTCTAGTTCTAGTAATAATGCTGGAGAGCAGTGGTTCCCAACAAGGGGGTACCGGGGTATTTGAGGGGGTACGTCGAAAAGATTAGGGATTGCAATTTATTTCCACACAAAAGAAAATATTTGTAATCTTCCTGTTGTCCGAGGGTCAAATTGGACTCATTCATAAATGTTTTTTCTGTCATAACAAGGTGTTGTTTTTATCGAAATGCCACAAAAATAACATCGTGATCACTACCGTCATTGAAATAGTGGTTTTATATAAATGAATAGCATCTGGTGTAATCATGTGCTGCCCATACAAAAACAATTGAAGCGGTTTTTAATACAGAAGCCTGACAAAAATTCAAAATAATTATTCTTGTTCGGCCTATTTTAAAACCTTTTTTTGGGTAATTTAACTGAGGTTTTTTGACAGTAAATTTAAAAAAAGACAAGTCATTAATAGGAATTAAATTGGCGTAAAAGGTGAAACCAAGATTTGTGTAATAAATCTATATGTTTTATAAACAGTCAAACCAGGACAAAGTTTGTACAGCTGATGGGACGACAACACAACGGTTAAATTAAGAAAAGAGTGAGTTTTAATGTTGTTTTTTAGCTCACAATACGTGTAACTGTCAAGTCTAAATGCATTTGTATTAAGGGTGAGTTATACAAGTGATTATCATTTAATGCACTTTTGTTAAATACAATTACAGAGGGTTTAAAACCAAATAAAAGTATAAAGTATTTAGGGTTCAGGAGACAGAAGATGTTGGGAACCACTGCTGTAGAGAGTAACAATAGCCGCTTTCACACCAAGTACTTTGCCGTACTTAGTTCCCAGCACTTAGTTCCCAGCTCTTAGTTCCCCCATGGAACCAAAGAGCAGATCGCGTTCACACCGGAATAAATTCCCTGAGGGAAGATTACGCAAATGAAGCCGCTGACGTCACTTCTTCTTCTTCTGCTTTGGGTTTACTGGCAGGTCGCAAACAACTTCACGGCGTATACTGCCACCCGAAGTCCCCGGCCGGAAGTCCCCGGAGTTGGGGACTGGCTTCAGTAGAAGCTGCTGGGACTCCCAGCTGCTTCTACTGAAGCCTTCCGAGTAAATCGCCTGAACGCCGACACCTCCTCATCTCCACCGCTCGCATGTTTTCTTTTGTGTTGCCATAAGTTATTCTCTCTCCGTTGGTGCGCGGGGCTAATGCTAATGCTAATAATGCTAATGCCAGCAAATACAATGGCGGCTTCACAAAACCTTTCAGAGTTTTACGGGGCGTGGTTTGCAATTCGCCCAGCCAATCGGAAATTGGTACTTTTTTCTCCCCAGGATAGTCCCACCTCTCTAGCAGGGACTACAAATGGGGGTAAAAGTTCTCGGAACTAAGTTCTCTTTTTGGTGTGAACGCAAAATTCCAGGCACTAACGGAACTAAACGGGAAAAGTACGGGTAAAAGTACTCCGGTGTGAAAGCGCCTAATGGTTCAGAAACAGTGGGGACACCAAGGGTGAAGTACTGTAGTCATGTGACCACCCTGGGTGAAGTACTGTAGTCATGTGACCGCCCCGGGTGAAGTACTGTAGTCATGTGACCATCCCTTGTCTTTGTAATGTTACTGCCAAAACAACCACAGAAGAAGAGAAGACGCGAACACACACATTTCTCTTCGGCGACCCCGTGACCTCCGCAGGGAAACATGTTTAATCCGCCCGGCAACAGTGGAGGTACAAAGCAATATGAACGTTTTAGAGACACTATTTTCTTAAATTATTGGGCCATAGTGTTTGTACAGGATGTTGTTTTTTAATTTCATTTCGATTGTTAATTTCACGTGTGATTTTTTTTCTTTTGTCGAGATGGTTTGTCTTTGTCTTTTTTTTCACTGTAGGATATTTCTAGCTTTCTTGGTTTACTGAGGAAAGTGAACGTTTTTCAAAGTGCTGAAAACCATGTATTTGTAGGAATAATATATAAATATATATATAAAAAAAACAAGTCATTAAACTGAGTTTGGGTTTTTAAACACACGGTGGTTTGATTGTCCGAGAAAAATGTTTTTTCATAATTCTTTTGGTTGGTTTTGGTTCTCCGAAGAGTAATAACACAACATTGTATAAAATATGTGAAGCATTTTAGAAAAAACTCCAACTTAAAGGTGATTTAACTGTTGATTTGTACATGACTTCCTCTTAGGATAAGGGCCTGGGTCCCATATGGTTAAAACAATAAATACAAACAAATTAATATATACATAAAAACAGTAAAAGGATATATATCTATTTAGATTACATCCTATAAAATAGAACGAATAAGTTGTAATAGACCAACTTACTACCAAAAAAACATTAAAAAAGGACACTTAATGCATACATTTTACAAGTGTGCACACTAGTAGCAGATATTAAATGAAAATTTGAATTAGAGTTGAATATGTACGAATTGTTAGGGTTATTAATCAGATAGAATTACATCTGGTTAAAAATAATATAATAAAACATTGAAAAATCACGAGACAGAGCTGATTGTTCCTTTAACAGTATTAATAGTAAACGTTAAAAAAAGACTCAGTTGTTATATTAACAAACTCAAAGCAGAGCAAACCTGGTTACCATAATCATTTCTCTCTATATCACACTGATTCACATTCAGCCCGAGCCGAGGCGAATACGAGTTCTCTGATTTTACATATGTTACATTATAATAAAGCTGATGAATGCATATACTGCAGGGGGGAAATGTTCTATGAAGTCCTTTGTGGCTCCAGAGCTTTGTGAAGTCTGATTAATTCCCACAAGTGAATTCAGCCGTGGAGGAACGAGGAACATCTGGACCACGAGATGAAGTTCTCCGACAGACTCTACGGAGGAACAGGTACTTCAGATTTCAATGGTAAACGCCACATTTGAAACCCTCTTTATTTGCCACACATAAATGCACACAGTGAAATGTGGTCTCTGCCTTTAACCCATCCTATTACTAGGAGCAGTGGGCAGCTATTGTACATTTCTTGAATGTGTCTGACCAGTTATTTATGTCTCAATTGAAAACGGATGCCTTTACATGGTTTATACAAGCAAAATAAGCCATCAGAAGGAAGATTGGCGGTCAGATTCCCAACAAAATCTGACAAAACCATGTACAGACTGTTGGGGAAATATTTTCCAAAGCCCATAACTGTGACCGTTGATCAGTTCATGTCCTGACTGAGCGCACGTACCTGTAACCTTGGCTGCTGTGCCCTCCGTGTTCTGTCTCCCTGTTCCTGCCTGTTGGCGTCAGCTGATAGAGGTGTTATGATTCTATCTTGTTATGCTCAATGTTGATTATTCTCTCTGAACTAGCTAAATACACGGGTCTGGGGGAGAGTTCTTCAGAATTGACGTGGCAACTCTACCGTGAAGTCAGAACCTCTGACTCTCTGACTTGTTTTGTGAATTCTCCGGCCGAAGCTCCAAATAAACCCATCAGTGTTTGCCATCAAAGCTCCAGCTCTCCCCGTGTCTCCTTTTGAGTCGGTGACTCCTCCTGCATTGCTACACAGAAGTTTCCCCCACAACGGGAGATCTTAAGCTTTGCAGTGAGCAGCAGATTAGCCGGTTAAAAATAGGCAATAAGACAGATCTGTTATTGTATATGTTCTGGTCATTACTTACGGTTGCCGACAGGTGCAAACACGTTTCAATGGCAAAAACACTTCCATTAGGAGAAACGGTGAAAATATAAAAACACAAATTAAGAAACATCTTCACTAACTTCATGAAACATCCGCAGATCATGTGATCACATTGTTAAAGAAAAGCCCATCAAAACATGTTAGGTAAGTTTCCAACAACAAGAGACAGGTGTCCAACTTCATAATCCTGAACGTCACCAAGCGCATGTCTCCTCACGTTGCTGAATGTTCTCTAAACGCTGCATGTGTTGTCAAGTTGCTGGAGATGTTTCTTCATGTGGAACAGTTGGGTTTTTATATCTGCATCCTTTCTGAAGCTGCAGCGTGCAGAGTTGTAGGTTGTTTGCACCTGTCGGCCTCCGTTCAGCACACAGGTAAAGAAAGCAGAAGAGGATGAATGTGAGAAAGCACTAACACATGATTTAATGCACATTTTAATCATAAAAATGTGCATTAAATTGATATACACAACCAAAAAATAAGTGAAAATAAAAATGGACTTCTTAGACATCTTTATCCACGGTGATCTGGCTCTATATTTGTCAATAAGTGTAAATATTTGTGCTGACTATTATGCAAAAGAAAGAATTAAATCATTAACATTTTGTAATTATGAACATCTCAGCAGGAGCAGAAGAGAAGCCCTGAGGCGCCTGGCAATTATAATAATAATTTTAACATTTAACATCTTTAATGACACATCTAAAGAGCTCCTGCTGCTTATTTATTCAGACGAAAACAAACAGATTTATGTAAGTAAGCATCTCATTAACAAATAAAAACTCTTGGACTGAATAATTTCAAAGTGGTTTTCTGAGACAGTTATTGCATTTCTTTGAATTGAAATCACTTGCATTTTGAAATTCTAACTTTGTTTCGAAGTCGTCTGAAACCTCTCGACATGTGTAACCAATGTATTGATTAAATAATAAGTCTAGACATTTCCAACCCGCACTTCTTCCCCTTAAAATAACCGAGTAAATCGTCTGACACAAACACACATTTCAACACATTCGCCTCCGTCTGTATTTCAGTTTTATCTCCCGTTACATTCCCCGCTGCTTCCCCTCTCACCTGTATTTATATTCTCCTTCCTTTACTTCACGGCTGACAGCAGGGAATCCGAAATAT